CACAGGCACATGAGGGGACTGGAAGTCCTGTGGCTTAGATCTCGTGCACCTTAGTTCTCAAAGTAACATCTTGAACACTTCACTGCTTTTGCAGCTTCCCAATGCAGTACACTGTCTGACTTCTTCACTGCTGCGTCCATGATACTGACTGGGTCTAAGTAGAACAAAATCTAAGTACCTCCTAATATTAAAAATCATCAGAAAAGAAAACTATACACATTTATGCAATAACCTTTTAGAAAGATTTTCGATGAGAGGGGTTGGAGGAAAATGTATCTGCTTGAAAACATTAACATCACCCCTCCCCAGCATGCACATTCTTTTCATTCTGATAAGGTAATTGCTTTCCTTTGGGGAAAATTAAAGGGGAATCGTGAACGACCCAGGCGTATGACCACCAAATAGTATTGACTATTTTGCACCTTAATTCTCCGTTAGACTTCCTCGCACATACTTTGGACTTGTTATCAGGAAGGACCAATCTCTGGAGAAAGACCTCATGCTTGATAAAGTGGAACAAGAGGGAGATCCTCAAGGCGACGGCTGACAGAGTGGCGGCAACAACGGACGCATAGGATGGTGCAGGACAGGGTAGAGTTTCATTCTGCGTACACCGAGTGGCCTGGCCACGTCTGACAACAATGCAGCCAGGAAAAGTCCAGCGATGGGTGGTGCGTTATACTACTGTTCTAAGGACAGCTTCTCCGTTGTGCTTTGTGAAAGTTTAGGCACACGGTCTGAAACCAGATTAGCCGAACGCTCTCTCGAATAGCAGATGACATATCAACCTGTAAATGAGATTCAGGATCTTACCTGCTGGCTGTCGAGATTCATCAGTGTGAGGCTACACGTTGAGATGGTCAGTTTTATATTCATTCCCGAAAACTGAAGGTTACTTTTGCCAAGAACCGTTGATAGGAATTTAACTGGAGGCTTTAAAGATAGCAAAACAATACTCTAAGTTATGAATTTGTTACCGAATAAAGATTCGTGTTATTTAAATGTCTAACAAAACCCCACAATAAAGCAACAAAACAATGTCCACACTATACTTCTCAATTTTACTTTAAATAAATTATATGAAATACAATGTTTTTTATTTGAATATAAAAACTTTTAAAAATCAGAGTACAGCAAATTGATAAGTAATGAAATGTGAATCCTCTTTTCTTATTAAAAGGGAGCCCTGGTGTTCTATTGGTTATGCATTAGGCTGTGATCCAGATGATCGGAAGTTCAAAACCACCAGCAACTCCGGAGCTATATGGGAGAAAGACTGGGCTTTCTACTCTGGTAACCAGTTGCAGCCTCAGAAGCCCACAGGGGGTCGCTGTAAGTCAGCAATGAGTTCTCTTGTTTTGTTTTCTTATACAAAGGAGCCCAGCTGCTCCCAGAAAAGGGCCCGAGTCTTGGAAATGCACGAGGGCAGTCTCTACTCTGTCCAACAGGGTTGCTGAGTCAAAAGTGCCTGGGCGGCAGTTGAGTTTCTTACAACTCGCCTCAGTTGGAGGCAGGGACCTGCCATAAAAGGAGCATCAGTGAGAGGCTGAATCCCTTAAATCCTCAAGTCTTTTCAACACCAGGAATCTAAGGGGGGGAAAGCTGACAACCAGCCACGGAAGGCCTTGATGAACCCAGCCCAGTAACGTAAGTGGCACTTCCAGGACCTTGCAAGCGGACTGCGCTGTGCAGGCCGTTGAAGATGGATAACTGATGCTTAGGGGACGCATGCATAAATACTTGGAGGTAGTCCGTGAAATAAAAAAGTTTTTTTCTTTCACAATTTTGCTTGTGACTCTTACTTAACTCCTTAGCGAACCACGTCAAACTACCAAACTGGAATGAATGAAATTGAACACATAGTTTCATTTTTAAAATTCTGAATACAATCTTGTGAAAAACATGTAAGGACAGAGCCCTCGCCATCATGGCTCTGACCCTATCGTAGTTGTGGATGCTTGGTTGGCTTTCTTTCCTCTTCATAAGGCCCTGGGCCAGGCAAGCCACACACGTCGGGGATTTCGTGTGCCCAACAATTATTATATTTAGTTAATACATCACCCATTTGCTTCTCTAGTTTCCTTTCCATGCTAGTTCTAGTTTGGTTTTTTTTAATTATTATCACGTGCCCATTAAGTAATGAGGCATTGACTGAAAAACACTTTACAATCTGTAAAGAACTTTTCTTTGAAAGTGTACAATATCTTAATTTGGTCCTCACAGTAGCCTTAATTTCGTGAGAAAACTTCAAATGTATTCGTTATAAAGGAGACAAACTCACCTGACTATTAGAAATGACTTAACATTTAAATGCATGGGAGAGAGGAATGTACCTGAATTTCAGGTAGGCACCAAACCGAAAAAACAACCTCAGTGCTATCATCCAGTTCATGCTGACTCATAGTGCCCCGCCCCCTCCATGGGTTTGAAAGACTGTAATTGCTCACTAGAGTAAAAAAAACCTGTCTTTCTCCCATAGAGCAGCTGGTGGTTTCTAACTGCTGACCATGCAGATTGTAGCCCAATGTGTAACCACTCCGTCATCACAGAGCAAAACAAACAGTACATGCAGGGAGACAACTTGGAGTTGCATCCCAGGTGTGCCCAGCTATCAAAGGGGCTTTAGGAACCCTTTGAGTCCCTCTCATTGTCATTGCTTAAAAAACAAAGAATAGCATCACTCCTTCCACTGAGTCATAGGAAGCCGAAGGACACTTTGTGGTAGTTACATAATTGGTGTCAATTTGAGAAGAGTGTAGGGGTGGAGTCTAGCCTGTCAATCAGGATATAGCCAACGAGGATTCTGTGTGGGCCTGACTTTCTCCTGAGGATTCTGGGAACTCCTGTATTTCCTCCTTGAAGGTAGGAGACTGACTGACACACACTCTCTCTCTCTCATTCCCTGCAAGATATCCCTGAGGAGAAGACCCATGGAGAAAGGCTGATGGAGCCAGACCTCTGGAGCCAGAAAAGCCATGTGGAGAGCGCTGAGATGCTTACACCGCTGCTGGATCCACAAGGCCTTCCACCCACTTGCCTGTGATCTTCCTGCATTTGTGTCATTGCATGTGTTTTGTGAGTCTGAAGAGAACTTTATAGATTGGTGTTGGACATATGGGCTAATATTGGATTTATAGACTTGATTTGGACTGGGCTAGGAGGTTTTCTCAATACTCAATTGCTCTTGGATATAAAGCTTTTTCTTAAACATATATGAGTGTGTCTCTGACTTTGTTTCTCTAGTCTATGTAGACTAACACAACTTGAATTCTGTAATACAGTCTGTGAACATGGAGAGTATACAGTGGAGTGATAAATTATGGTGATTATAATGACTACTTATGAAATAAATCCCGGTTCATTTTGCTACAGGATTACTTCTTAGTTTCTGCCTTAAGAAAGAGAAACTGGACAATGTAAGATATGGATAAAATAATCTATAACTTATCAAGGATTCATGAGGGAGGGCGGGCAGGGAGGGAGGGGAAGAAATGGGGAGCTTATATCAGGGGCTCTAGTGGGAAGAGAATGCTTTGAAAATGATGATGGTGGCATACGTGCAAATGTGCTTGACACACTGGAGGAATGTATGAATTGTGATAAGGGATGTAAGAGCCCCCAATAAAATGATTTATATATAAAAAAGGGTGGGTCCTTTGCTGTAGACCTATTACTGACTGGGTGACCTTGGGCATGTAACTTAGCCTGTCTGGGCCCCTAGGTTTTTTCACCTGTAAAATGCAGCTAAGAATAGAATCTGCTGCTTACATTGTTGTGATGATTAAAGGAGTATAAAAAAAGTAAGATATTTAGAAGAACCCTCCATCTACTGCCATCAAGTTGACCCTGACTCATAACAACCCTACAGAGGGCTTTCACGGCTGTCGATCTTTACAGGAGCAGATGACTCATTTTTCTCCCAAGGAGTCACTGGTGAGTTTGAACCGATGACATTTTGATTAGCAGCCCAACAGCCCACAGTAGCACCAGAGCACCTTGGCAGAGTGCCTCTCAGGCAGTTAGTACACCATAAGGATTAACTATCAAAAAACCACACTCACTGCCAGCAAGGCGATGCCAACTCACAGTCACCCTGGTGCAGTAGTGGGCATAAGTTGCCTGTGATGCACGGTTCAAAGCCACCAGCAGCTCCATCGGAGAAAGACGGGGCTTTCTACTCCAATAAACAGTTACTGCCTTGGAAATTCACAGGGGCAGTTCTACTCTGTCCTAGAGGATCACTATGAGCTATCAAAGGAAAATTACATTAAAAATGTACTTCTCTTTCTTTGCAACTGTACTTTCTGGAGAAGGGATACCTTTGGAATAGTTGTGAAGGACGAATTCCCTTCTCATAAATAGACTTGTTTGTTGGATCATCAAGTTGGAACATCTGATTCACAGGGAATTTATAGAGGTCTAAATACAGCCATGTATATATGTAAATATATTTACATATGATGATGGGGAAATAGATCTATGTGTATATTTATAGGTTTAGTATTAAGGTAACAGATGGACATTGGGCTTCTACTCAAGCACTCCCTCAATGCAAGAACACTTTGTTCTATTAAACTGGCATTCCATGATGCCCACCTTCCCGACATGATCACGGAAGACAAAGCGCATGCATAAGCAAATGTGGTAAAGAAAGGTGATGGTTCCCAGCTATCTAAAAATATAGCATCTGGGGTGTCTTAAAGGCTTGAAGATAAACAAGCGGCCATCTAGCT